ATTATAAATCACCTCTATGTGAATCACCAAAAAGAAGCAATAGGAAATTAATTATGAAGTTAAAGTGCGGTAGTCGTCGCACCACGCATGCGCGATATATATGGGACTCGTATAAACAAAAATGGCGATTTTGACTGTTGTGCAGATCAACGAGTACAAACTGAGACATTACGAAGCTTTAATTAGGTATTTTTAGGTGGTTGGAAGGCATCGAAGGAGTCGCCGGCGGTAATTAGTACAAGTCACACCCAGGTAAAACCATCACTGACATAAAATCTAAGTAAAAATGTTAACAGTAGAATGGGCACGAGTACCTGTGAGACAATTTTTATCTGTCCATCCCGGTAGACACTGGCAGGTATAGTCATACTCTAGATCAATGCATGTACCACCATTTCTACAGGGCTGACTTGCACATTCATTGATGACTATACCTAAACAAGTAAACGGGTAGTTTAAAAGAAAAGATATTATATAGAGGTGAAATAAGTTGCATTAAAATGTTAATATATATTTGCTGCAATCATGATGAATTCCGAAAAATATACTCCATGTAGACGACAAATTTTCCTATTAGTTGGCAGGTCAGTAGGGCGCCACCACAGTTCATTTCATTTCTGGGTGGAGGTAACACAGGGCGAACAAACACTGCATAATTAACTGTCATCATCTAAAAACTTTATAATTGCATAAACAGTAGGATTATAGATGTACCTATCTCACAGCGAGTACCGGTCCACAAAGACGTACAGACACAGATATAGCCATTTACTTGATCTTGGCATGTACCATAATTGAAACATGGTGAACTTGCACACTCGTTAATGGCTGGTTGTAAAACAACAAAATCTTGTTACAGTTTATAACTAGATAGCAAGATTGTGTGTGAAGAAATTAGCATTTGATAAAGCAGATTTAAAAAAAAATAGAGGTATAGATTTCATTGGCTTTCATGAAAAGTTAAAAGTCGCATATTATAAAGTAGTACAGTAAAGTACAGAAATACCTCATATTTCATATATGAAATACCTCATCAGCTTTAATTAGGAAATATGTAACTGATTTATGGCAATATAGAAAAGAAATGATGAAGGTAATTTAAAGATATGTATTACTGTTTTCATGCTGCCGATACAAAGGTTGAATAAACATTATTATTATTATTATTATTATTATTATTATTATTATTATTATTATTATAATACAGAGTCAAAATTTACTGTCAAAGTTCAAATCAGTGAAAATGTATGTAATTCTGTTCAAGACCTGTTATGCCTCAATTTTGTTTGAAATTAAACTGCAATAGAACCAGCTTGAGATTAAACTTTATACCATGTTGTTTTGTTGAAATCTTATAATAATCTACTAAAATTAATTTCATAAAGTCCTGGGGCTTAGAATACAGGTTTGCCGAAAGTTCATTGATAACAACTTGTGGTTTAAATCTTTTAATTTCAATTATGGATAGTATAATTACCTATTTGACAATTATTTCCAGACCATCCTGCAGTACAAACACAAAAGTAGCTATTCGTGCCATCAATACACAAACCACCATTTTGGCAAGGTCCACTGATACACTCATTAGTTGCTATGGTTACATAAAGACAGAATTCAGAGATACATATATATAGCATTACCATGATATACAAATTTACATAAAAGGACAATTATGAAAAATCAATTACAGGGAAAAAATTATTTCAAAAAAAAATTCACTTATACTAAAATTAATTCTTTTTTTTCATTAGATTTGTGTGATTCTCAAAGAATTGTGAGTGAGATCATTGATCGGAGAGGAGAAATGAAATAAAATTTTATTCCATGTATAACCTTGTTTCTCATCTGCGCAAGACTTCGGTACTTTGATCATGCTACCCCAACGAAAATGAAACTTGGATTTGCTATGCGACAGGCGGTAAAAAAATGAAGAGAAAAATAATATTTTTTAGAATTTTTTGTGCTTACAGGTCGGCGGGCGCGAGAAATTACGCTGAAATAAAATTTTATTTTTATTTCATTTTCGGCTCCTGTTCATTCGGCGGGTTCGCAAAACAAGGGATAATAAAAGACTGGCCTTATAAAAAAAAATTAACAATTCTTTTTAAAAAAAGTGGAAAAAAAACTTGGTCATACCTAGCTCACAGTTTGTGCCTGTCCATCCTGGTTGGCAGCTACATGTATATCTGTATTGTCCATCAATACAAAAACCATCATTCTGACACGGTTGACTAACACATTCATTGACATTCACAGCTATATATCAGTATGGTAACATAATGGTTAGTTAAACATCCATAAATAGTTTAGATCATCTTACCCATGCTTCCTGATGTCAGGTTGTTTGGATGTCATTCAAATTCATAGACTGAGAGTTAATTGTATATTTGTAGGCAACACTAGGATATCATTGCAAGATGTTTTACACTTTGTTTTGAAATGGAAAAATTTTGTTTAGACTTCAAAGAGGCTGCCAATATCTAAGCAAAGGATCTTAAATACCTCAACATGCAGACAATTAGGATTAATTGTACTTTCCGCATGCTAAACAGTACTGTTCAATATTATTTTAGAAAAAAAAAGAGCGATACTACCGGGTATATACACATCTTTTAAATCGCAATGTATGTGTTAACCGTCATTAATACACCCCAAACCTGTATATGAATAGGTAAACATGAAAGGGAAAAACCATGCACAATAGAAAACTCAACTAAAAACATGAATTTTATTATTAAAATGCCTTCTAATTAATTTTCAATTATGAATCAATAGTACATTTCATTGACATGCAAACCAAACTCAAAGGAAGGCCATGGGAATATGTATGTACCTATATCACAGTTACTACCAGTCCAGAACTGTGTACACCGACAGGTATACTTGTAGGTACCATCAATACAGGTACCACCATTATGACAGGGACTGCTGACACACTCATTGACATTCACAGCTTGTATGTGAATGTCCAAGATAGAAACGGAAAAGCAAGGGGGAGAAAGAGAGAAAAATCAGTTGTGTTAGTTGTGAAGTACCCGGGTAGTTAGAAATGTTAAAAATCAACGCAAATACATAGTCTACACATACAATTACATAATCCTAATATTACCCACTCATGAAATTTACTTCACCCTTAGTAAAACAGTTGATATCAATGATGGAACTATTTTTAAAGTTTACAAATGTACTTATACGTTGAAGTGAAAAAAACAAATTATGCTATATACCGGTAGATACGAATAGTAAAATTAAAAACAGAATATCAACAAAGGAATATATATATATGAGGGAATTCAAAAGTTAATTTACTTAAAAAAATAAAAAATATTAATTTGTAAAATAACTTCCCTGATTTTACTAATCTAAACGATCACACTAGAGGATATGTAACATGTGGATTATTCGCCGTTGGTAATTTGGAAATTGTGATTACTGTATGGCCGTTTAATGTACCGGTACTTATGAACTTACATTGCCAAACTTCTACTTTCTGTAGGTTTATGTAAATATTGAGTAATTTGTATGTATTTAGACAGTTTGCATTTACTTACAAGGTCGCCATAGAGGGAGACTGGTATTAAAGGAAACAGCTTTTGTTTTGTAATGCCACTAATGGATTTGTTCTTCATTTGGTAAACCTAGTGTTTAATATTTCATTGTAATTTCCAACTTTATAAGATTTGTAATTCCATATTCTATTTTGAAGCAAGGTCACTGACTGGGTCACCTGAGTTGCCTAGGCTCGTGGTCAAGGGTTGCCTTGATCTTCAGTCTGAACCTTTGTAGCACACTGTGTGCATGTGGCTTTGAGTAGTGTCCGTTTCCTCTTGGTCTGTGCATCAAAACCATGCCATCCAGTCTCAATCACATGTGTTCATTACTGGGGTATTCCATTTTACAGTTTCAGAATATATTATTGTTGTATTGATTATATATTTGTATAGCCGACAAGCTGGGTCGTCCTTGTGTCTCTGAGTTCTAAGTTTAACCTGTCCCCATTCGTATATTTAATGGCAAGTATTTTCTAATAATTGAATTGAAGCTAGCATTAGAATGTAACTTATTCAAGGTTCAGACCTACCTTAAAATTTGTAGAATTTTATTATTACATCTTGGCGTTTACGAGTATCATTATTATTAAACCCTTGCTTGACTACATTACATAACATTGTTTGCACTTACATTTTAAAACAGGTATTTTGTTAGTCGGGTGTCTTGTATCAAATGCTTTTATGGTGATCTTGGATTAAAAAGAACATTTATGGTCTATATTTTATCTGTTACAGATATATGTGACATATTATATACAACTGTAAATCATAAACATGCTTTAATGAGGGATTAAGAGAATACATGTATAAAACAATTATACTAAGCATTTCTATGCAATGTACCTTGTTGGCAATTCCATCCAGTGTATGTAGAGGTACATTCACATCTATAACTGCCAGTGTTCAATAGCTCTAAGCAAGTACCACCATTTAAACATGGTTGACTTGTACAAGCCAATCCTATTGATTTTCCAAGAATGGGTTGTTGAAAAAAGAAAATGTCACAAGAAATCTTGATTATATATATAGAGCATAGAAAACTGATAGCAAAACTATTACATAGTTGTAATGCTAGATTTCCAGTGAATTTTAAGTAATCAATGATATTGACTGCCAAAAGTGAAATCAGCATATTACAAATTTACAATTTAATACTCATATCTTTGATTATATCACAGGATCATTACATTGAATGGGACAGAAGCCAGATAAAACAGTAAGTACTGGGGTAATACACAAACAGCAAATTTCACTTTAACTCAATAAACGCTGTAAAATAAAAAAGAAAACATCCTTTCCACTGACATTAGGTAAACTTGCAGTATTGCAGAAAGGACCAGAAAGTATAAGTAATGTGTGGCTATAAAGTAAAAATATTGTACGTTTACAAGAAGTTGGGGATATGCAATCAACAGTACTACATTGGGGCATGATGATGGTAGTGTGGGATCAAGGGACTTCGATGATTAACAAGGCAACATCAGTACCAGGTGGGATATAAAGAAACATTACAATTTGACCAATTATTGCATTCTGTACTTGGGCATACTTACTCTGTTGACAGTTGTCGCCAGTCCAACCAGCAGCACAGGTACATTCGTAGTCAGTGTACAAGTTTAGACATGTAGCACCATTAAGACAAGGGTTTCCACTGCACGCATCACGAACTATAAGAAAACAATTATGATATAATGATGGTCTTCACAATAGTTTTGCTAGATTTTGTTAACTGGCACTTGTGAGAAAATACCATGTTGGGCTATATACATGTATTACCGGTATATACTTACATATTTCACAATTATTGCCAGTGTACTCAGTAGTGCACTCACAAATATAAGATGTCTGTAGATTAACACAACTACCACCATTCTGACATGGATCACTAATACATACATCAACAGCTGTTGAGAAAATAAGAATATTAATACACATTATTATACAACGCCATAAGTTACAGCGTGCCATAATTTTGCGGTATTTTACCGGTTATTTTCATCCTACCATATTAGGAAATGCGAATTCCAAATATTGAATGATTACGTGCGTAAGCGTCCTCTAATAATAACAACAAACATGTCTGCACCAGAGTTTGAATGGACTCTGCACAAAGAAGTTTGCTGATTCTATTCTAAACATTTTGGATTTTGGCATCCCAATGGTGCATCCTTGGAAGGAAAGATTTTACAATAATAAGTTTATTACAAGTATACGTCAAAGTATCCACTCAGACAGTATGCCATTGCATCGACCTCTGTTGCACGTCGGTCGATACTCCAGCTGTACTGTCTTTGTGCATATTTTGAGATATCCTCGTAATAACCTCATATTATACTTAAAGGAAACATATTAGGAATGGGGGGGGGGTTACTAGAACAATGTGGAGTGTATAAAACATAAGATTTCTGGGAAACAAGATATCCTAGTTATTGAAAAACACAACTATTAAATTTTATTGGTTATACTGGATTACTTGTAACATAATTTGGGTAATATAATATTATCATAATATTTGAAATGAATTGGAAAATGGGAATAGATTGTTAAACGGTCAGATGGGACATACAAGATCTAGCGAGTTTGAAAGAGGTATATTCTACAAGTAACTTTAGTTTACCTATTAGCTATTGAATGTATTATTAAATAAAATAAAATAAAAAGCACTAAATCATATAAATTATCAGTACTGATGGAGTCTCTAGAAACATGCCAGTAAGTTTTTTTTTATTTTTGGAGTTGTACCTATTTCACAGTTAATGCCAGACCATCCGGACAAACACAAGCATATATACTCAACAGATCTAGCAAGAATACATGTAGCTCCATTTTGACAAGGCTCATGAAAGCATCTATCGACTAAGTAGAGTAAATTGGCAAATGTTAATGTTCCTTAAAATCAGCACCCTCATGCAGGTATCATGGGAAAAGAAAGTTTGTTCATAGAATTGATTAGTTTTGATTCATCAATTAAGTCAGGTGATTGTGAATTACATAAATTTGCAGGTCCCATCAATAAATAATAATGGATTGTCGTGGAGAACAAGTCAAGACACAGTCTCCATTGTTTTTTTTTAAGAAAACTTGCAAAAAAAGACATTACTTGCCTCCAAAAATAAGAATATACAATTCACATATCAAGCAAAAATCACAGCATAATTAAAGAACTTGCCAAATATATTTACACAACACAACGATTTATTTAACATTTAAATACTAATTATGCAATTTTTATAATATTTTTACATATATCTTGTTATTATTTTAAAACTCATTTTGGCTGTACTTATCCTATGTAAATCTTTTTACACAGAGACAATAAAGTTATTAGTATTACATTTCAACAGCTCAGACAAGTCTTTGTTATGCAACAGATTTGAACCAAACCCATCAATGAAAACCTGAAATAGGGTTCTACAAACGCTTGATATTGTTACATCATGTTGAACTTCACAACAGAAGTTGGATTAACCTACCTATATCACAATTGCTTCCCTGCCAGCCTGGCATACATGAACAGGTATAGTATGTGTACATATTGTTACAAGATGCTCCATTCAGACATGGGTTACCCAGACATGCATCCAACCCTGGAAATTAAAATGAAATTTATAGTTACAAAAATACTTCAACTAACATCGAAAGGGTAAAATACTGTTACAGTTCAATACAAACATCACTGTCATATTTGTGAAGGACATTCAGCAAAGTGTTGCTATTCTCTTTATCATATAGGATGGGCTAGATAAATATAGAAAACAAATGGTAAGCAGAAACAGCTCATTTAAAAACTGTCATGTTTAGTATTTCTAATTTACACAATTTAGTTTAGATTTGAGTCACGGTGGTACTGCAGAAAAGAACATATAGTGGCAATACTTACGTGTGTCACAGATTTGCCCAGTCCAACTGACTGCACATGTACATGTATAGTAAGTATAAAGGTTATTGCACACACCACCATTCAGACATGGATCACCAAAACAGGCATCTAGAGCTAGGAAATAAGATGACAATATAAATACAAGGTAAAGTTAGGCATGTATAACAGCAGGAAATACAAATTCCATTTGGGGTCGCCTAGAACCCCCCCCCCCCCCCCAACAAATACAATTTTGATATATTTGCTGATATAGTGAAATACATGCTGATAAATTATAATTATATTAAATATGTGTTACTAAGAATATTAACTTAGTGTATTAATTCTCATCTAATTCTCAAATAAATCCCATACAAATAAAACTTAATATTATTTTTCCCTTCAGTTCAACTTGCATATATTTATTCATTTATTCCATGATGACACATAGATAGTCCTATCGAAACATTCAGACTGATCAGCTGCTTTCTCTATGTGATCCGTCATAGTACTAGTTTTTTCATATAATAATAATAATATGAGGTTATTACGAGGATACCTCAAAGTATGCATGAAGA